CGCCCTGTCCCTGCCCACCCAGCCTGAGACTGGAGCAGAGGTAGCCACAGAGCTTTCTCTCCGAGGCCTGGAATTCTCTCTCTCTCTCTTTCTCTCTCTCTTCCTCTCCCCCATTCCTCCCCCCTTGTCCCTTACTTCTGCCAGCCCAGCTCCTCCTTGGAGTTCTGAAGGGCTGATGAGAGGCAAGGATACGAGTACCTGACCTCAGAGTCAGCAGAGAAGACAAGGCCTTAGGTGTCATCCTGGGCTGGGGTCAAGAGCCTCTGTCAGGGTCTAAGTGTCTTTTTGCCTTTAGCTGGGGCCTCTGCACTACTCTTCCATACTAGGAAAACCAATGGGAATAACTGAAGATATACACCTCAAGGGAGAAGGGGGAGCCTTGTGGGGTACTGATTTCTTGGGCCCCCGGCCTGGGTCTGGGGTACAGGGGACCTGAGTCAGTTTGTGCCTAGCATTTCTCAGGGCATTGGCAACTCCTTCCTGTGCAGCCCTATCTTCAGTCCTACCCCATCCGAGTCTCTGGTGATAGGCCTAAGGCATCAGTCGTGCTGAATGACATGACGGCAGGAGGCTCACCCGCCTTCCTCAGTCACTACTGTGATGACAAACTGTCTCATTGGTCACTCCGGCTTGGAAAGCAGGTTGATGGGAAAGCTCTGTGTAGCTTGTCACTCTCTCCCCCAAAAGAAAATTCTGGGTGCATGCCTGGGTCGCTGGATGGGCAGTTAGGGATGTGAGCTCTGCCGCTTCCTGGCAGTATGAGCTGGCCCAGGCACTGTCCTCTGAAACTGGGTAGTGTATTTCCATTCTGATTCCCAGGGCAGTGTGGAGGATCCACAAGGGGCCCTGTATTCTCACCCAGGTTTTGAGGCTGCCACTTCAGTGGATGGCCCAGAAGACAGATGACAACGCCAGTGGCCTTCCAGAGACATGGTGTCTTCCTGTCCCCACAAGTACTTACCTCCGGCCTCAGGAAATCCTGTCCTGCTGCCACTCCCATAGCCAGCTACAAGCTGACCAGCCAGCCCACCCTCATGTTGCTGGAAAGCCCGCTCAGGAGAAGAAGCCGTGTGCCGTCGTCTCACGCCTGCTCTTCCCACTCAGTCATAGCTTTCCTGCATGATTTCGGTCTTTGAAAATGGCCTTTAGGGCTGGGAAGGTGGCTCAGTGGTAGAGTGCTTGCCTTGCATGCATGAGGCCCTGGGTTCGATTCCTTAGTACCACATAAGCAGGAAAAAACCAGAAGTGGTGCTGTGGCTCAAGTGGTAGAGCGCTAGCCTTGAGCTGAAGAGCTGAGGGACAGCGCCCAGGCCCAGAGTTCAGGCCCCACAACTGACCAAAAAAAAAGAAAATGGCCTTTAGAGCTGTGAAACCTTCCTTGAGGGGCTTGATTTGGCCAACCAATCCCACAAGATTGAGTATTTGCATTATGCTGCTCCTTTTTTACTCTTGAAAATGCTGCAGTGGACATTTTTGGGCATCAAACAAGAATAGGTCTAGGGCTGGGAATGTAGATTAGTGGTAGAGTGCCTGCCTAGCATGCATGAAGCCCTGGGTTCAATTCCTTTGTACCTCATAAATAGAAAAAGCCGGAAGTGGTGCTATAGCTCAAGTGGTAGAGTGCTAGCCTTGAGCACAGAGAGGCTCAGGGACAGAGCCCAGGCCCCGAGTTCAAGCCCCAGGACTGGCAAAAGAAAAATAAAGAATAGTTCTAGTTGGGCATGCTTATAATCCTAACTGATCAGGAGGCTGAGATCTGAGGATCTAGGTTTGAAGTCAGCCTGTGCAGACAAAGCTGAGAGACTTATCTTCAGTTAACCAGCAAAAAAGCTGGAAGTGGAAGTGTGGCTCAGGTGGTAGAATGCCAGCTTTGAATGGAAAAGGCCAAGTGAGAGTTCAAGGCCTTGAGTTCAAGGCCCAACACGCGTGTGCGCGCGCGCACACACACACACACACAAAAGAGAATCGCTTTGTTGTGCACTGGATCTATACTGAAGCTAAGGATCAGAATCAGAAAGCCCAGGGCACAAGCCCTGCCCCAGGGTTTTCTGCCCACCTAGGGTCCAGTAGGAGCAGCAGGGGACACTTTAATGGCCCACTGTAAATGACTATGCTAGGCCCCAGGGACAGGTGCAAGCCTGAGTTCATCCTCAGCCTGGTAGGAGGTGCCAGGCCACTCCTGGGAGGACTGACAGCTGTGCAGGAGAGCCAGGTGCTCCTGTCTTGGTTATGCTTCCTCCCATCCTTCAGCAACCCTCCTATCCCACCCGCTTCAGCTGCGCCTTCTCCCCATTCTGCCAGACCCACTGTGGATGGCCCGCACCCACCTGGGTGTGGGTGCCTTCAATCCTACCCACCTACATGTGTGGACACCTGCACTCCTGTGTGTGCTCCTCACACCTCTGTGGGTATCTGCAGTCCTGCGGGTGTGCCCGCACACCTGTGTGCATGCCTGTACACCTGTGTGGGCACCTGCACTCCTGTGTGTGCTTGTCGGCACACACAATTGACCACTATATTCCTGAGACTGGGGCAGCCTCCCATTTCCTCCCTCAGAGCCACTTCTGAGGTCCTTCTCACCACACCAGTGGGGCGTGGTGAGGCGCCAGCTCCCAGTGCTGAGTGTGTAGTGTTGTCTGGGGGAGGAGGGACTTGCATCTCAGCTCTTCGTCGCTTATCGCCCCTGAGTATGACAGGGGCCTTTTGCTTTTAGCCTGAACTGTCCCTTGTCCCTGGTCCCCTTCCTGCTGCAGAGTAACGAGCATGGCTGAGATCTGGTAGCTTCACGGTCCTCCCTCCCCTGCTGCTAGCTCTGTCCTCCTGTGCCTGGGGGGTATGGGATGGGGAAAGGGCCCATGAACTGGGTTTGTCTCCTAGTCTGTAAAATGGGGCCCGTGCTGAGCCCATCGTGCAGGATTGCTGTAGGTGCATCTGGCCCAGCGCAGTGCCCAGGCTGTGCTGCACCAGGGCACTGGCGTCCCTGCCGGCATTCTTGGCAGCTGCCGGGCCCTGAGGCTGGCCTGGCTTGGGGTGAGGATTTGTCTTCCTGATCTCTCTCAGCCAGATCCTAGTGAGTGCCCCTCCTCCACCAGCCTGGGAGGGTATCCCCCCCCCCAACACAGTGGGGTGTCAGTTCTGGGGCCTTATTTCCAAAGCGGAAATACCATTCTAGGAGGCACAGGCTGGGGGGGGGGGAGCGGTGTTTAAGTGGAAAAGGAGCAAATTTTTGAAATGCCAGAGCCTGAGCCCAGTTCCCCTCCCCCACTGCCTCCGCCTCCTCCTCCTCCTCTTCTTCCCACAGCAGCCCCACCCCCAGTGTCACTTTAACTGCTCGGGAGAGGTCTCCCATTCCCAAGGTCCTAACCAACCCCCTTTCTGTAGTGCCCTCTTTTGGTGAGCTGGAAGGAACTGGGCACCAGCCTTTTTATGTCCCTGCTCCTCTCAGAAGTAGAGACCCAGGGACAGTTGAGGACTTCCCTCAGCCCCAACCCAGGCAGACACTTGTACAGAGATCATTTGGTTCAGTCCTGTTCCCTGAAGCCTCACCTGCTAGCCCCTCGCTCCAGGCTGAAGGGTTGGTAGCTGGCTGGGAGGGGAAAGGAAAGAGGGTAGGCCAGGATACAGTGCTAGGGACCAGCAGGAGATGTTCCTGGCTGCGCTCTTCTTCAGTGGGGAGTGGACTGTGTGAGGTGACATGGAGGGCTAATCTTGGGGAGGGTACAAAGTATTGTCTAGTTGTCACAGCTCCTTATTCACCCCCATGCTGTGAGTTCTACCCAAGTGCTTTTTCTAAGCCAGAGTGGGGGGGGGGATGCAAATGCCTGGCTTTTCAGGAGACTTGCGACCTAAGGCTCTGTGATAACCATTTTTCCAGAAGGTTTGTGCTGGCTAGTCCTGTATTTTGCAGATGAGAAAGGACCCTCTAGAGTGGGAGAGAGCATGCCCTGTGAAACATCGGACCCAGGACTGTGGGCGGGGCTGAACCGCGAGTGACAGCTGCCTGTCAAATGGGGGAGTTGAGTAGGTGGGCCTTGTGTGTATAGCCTAGGTCATTGCTGGGAGCTGTCTGCTGAGTGAAGCCCAGTCTCCTCCATTGCTTCCCTGGTGTTGGAAGTTGACTGACAATGAATGCTCAAGGAGCTCAGGATTGCTGACTGTTGAGGGTTTGGAGCAGGTTCTAGCTCAGTTCTCTCTGCATTTTCCTGTGTGTGGGCTGTACTCAAACTCTGGCGCCCTGATTTGCTGCCTGGGGTGGCAGTCACTGACCTGCAACTTAGCAAGCTGTGTGTGGGGGTGGGTGGAGCTTAGGAGAGCCAGGTAATTGTCCAGTTTCCCTGGGATGGCTTTTTCTTCTCCCTCATTCTCAACCTGTGCGTGCACACATGTGCACACACATTCATTCTCTTTCTCTCACACACACAGACACACAGATTGCTGAAGTAGACGGGTTGGAGCAGGTGCAGGGAATACACTGAACAGTTTTAGACCTGGACTGGTCTGGGCTGACTCAGAATGGGGGCGGGGGACTGAGACTGCTTGGGGCGCCTGGGCTTCACCGCTGTGTGGTGCGGTTCTTCTTCTGACGCAGGGGTCCCCCTCTCAATTCAGATCTGAGTCGAGGGGTTGACAGGTGGGGAAGGCACCAGCGGGTTCTGTGGGGGAGATGGGAGCCGCAGGGCAGTGGAAAGGCAATCTAGTGTTCCCAAAGTGGAGGCGCGGCGTGGCCGGAGGGGGGCACGCTCGCGGCCGCGGTGGGAAACGACGAGTGCGTGCAGGAAAAGGGATATCCCGTGCTGAAGGCCGGTGGCCGGGCGGGCGGAGACCTCCGGCTCCTGTCCCCTGGCGTGTGCGCGTGCGCGTGTGCGCGCACCCCGGACAGCGGCTCATTTGCATGGGGATCTGAGGCGGCCAATGGACGCGCGAGGCCGGGCATGCCGGGAGCTTGGCTGGGCCAGTCCGCCGGCTCCGGCGGCGGCGGCGGGAGGGGCGCGGTGGGACTGGCTCTGGGTGGCGGTGGCGTCCAGGCCGGGAGTCGCGGCCCCGGCTGCCACGGCGCGCTCGGAGCTCGGAGTCCGCGCGGCCCGGGTGGCCGGGTGTGCGCCCGCGGGAAGCCAGACCCCAGGCCGCGAGACACCATGAACTACCTGGTGAGTGCGTGGGGCGGGCCCGCGCGGCCGCTGCCCACCCCGGGCTGGAAGGGTTAAGCGAGTGGCATTTCCTGCGGGACCCGCGGGTCCTGGGAACTGCCGGCTGCCGGAGGCTCCGCGGGGCGTCCGGGCCTGGACTGCGTTCCTCGGCGACGACAGGAAAGTTCCTGGATCCGGGAAAGTTGCTGGCGGGTGGCCCGCTGCCCCCCCCCCGCCCCCGCGCCGGCCGCTGGCTGCGTGTGACCTTGGGAGCCTCGGTGTCCCCGACCGGAGGGGTGCAGAGCCGCTGGAGGTCGCGAGGGCCTCCCGGGCCGGGAGGAGGCCGGCCGAGTACCCCGTACCCCGACTGGGTGTTAGGGTCGAGCGGGGGAAGTCGGCGTGAATGATTCACCGCCCGCCCGCCGGCGCTGGATTCCGGTGGATTCCGGGAGCGGGGCGCAGCCGGGCCGCCCAGCGCCGGGGGCCGGGGGACCCGGGCCGCGCCGGCCCCCGCTGGGCGCGCTGGCTCGCGGGAGGGTGTGGCGCACTGACGGGATTTGGGGTGCACGTCGGGAAGCTCCTGGCCCGGCAGCCCCCGGGGCTGGGTGTCTGGTTTGGCTTCCGAAGCCCAGCGCCTTGCCGCTCACTGCTGAGGCGGAACCCAGGGCCGCGTTGTGCGGGATCGGGAAAGCTGAGACTTGCGGACCGAGCAGGCGGGTGGGAAGCCTGGGTGGTTTGGCCCGCGGGGATGCTGGGGTGAGAATCGCCTAGGGCTACAGGTTTCCTTTTTCCGCACCCCCGTGGCGAGGAAAGGTTCAGCCTAGAGGCTCTCCTGACCTGAAGTTTGATGTGGCGTGCTCACCTTCACAGAACGTCCGTGCGTCATCTGTTCCTTGCCACGTTCAGCCAGGTGAGGTTGCCTCACCGTCCCCTCTGCGGGATGATTAGGAGCAAGTATGGTGTCTGAGGATCAGGCTGGGTGCAGGTGGAGCGTGTGGGTGAGAACGCCCTGGGGAGTAGGTGCTGGCACACCTTCTGGCACTGGCATCTCCCTCTGGCTGGCCCTGAGCAAGGAAGGAGTCCTTTGGAGCTGGGCGGAGGCAGGGCAGGGTAATGGCAGGTTCTGCCAGGAAAGTCACTTTCAGTTAGGGGGAGGAGAACTGGAGCCTCGGGCATTACTGGTTGTTGGGAGTGAGAGTGTGAGTTCCGTTGGGCTGCACCATCTCTCTAGCTAGCCAAGGGATTGAGGTTAGGGCAGCCTCCTGTTTGCCCAGGAAAAAGACTCCTGAGATAGCCTACCTCTCAATGCACTTAGATGGAGAGTGCAGATGAGAAGACTGAGGCATAGAGACAGTTTTCCTGAACTGGGTCCAGAACCTGGTCTCCATGTGTTACTCCATGCATGTCTTGGCTCCTTGCCAGGAACTCAGGGCTCTGAGGAACTGTTAACTTGATGGACCCTTTGGCTGTAAGGCTGGGTCTTTGTGGCCCTCTCCTAGCACCCATTATTCTTTCAGGAAGTCCCATCATTCTTTTCTCCTGGGCCTGGACAGCTCCTCCTCAGCCCAAGCTGTCCAGCAAGGGAGGTCAGCTCCCTGGAAGCATCCTGGAAGAGGTCATAGGAAAGTCAGGTTTGGGGTATGGCAGACACAGGGCAGTGGTCATTCTTCATTGAAGGTATTGGGCATGCCTCACTTCCTCCGGGTCAGATAAGGGACATGGACGAAGGTGAAACGCTGTCCTCCATCCTGTCCTGAGCATTGGGAGGATCTCAGTTGTGTTTTGTTCTCCTAACACCCCTCCTTCCTACTACTAGGTAAGAAATGGGCCATAGTCAGGCGTGGGTGGAAGAAGTTCTGAAGATTGAGGGGCAGGGCCCATCTCCATGGAACACCCTAGAAATCACAGGGTTTGGGTTTTGTTTTTTTTTTTTTGTCAGTCATGGTGCCTGAACTCTGGGCCTGGGCACTGTCCCTCAGCTCTTCAGCTCAAGGCTAGTGCTCTACCACTTGAGCCACAGCACTACTTCCAGCTTTTTCTGCTTATGTGGTGCTGAGGAATCGAACCCAGGGCCTCATGCATGCAAGGCAAGCACTCTATCCACTGAGCCACGTTCCCAGCCCCGGTTTGGTAATTTTTTAAAACCGAAAGATCTCACTTTAGGCCTTATGACCTACTGAAAGGTATCAGGACTAGAGAGTGGCAGAGCTTGGGCTGGGAAGGTGGCTCATTGGTAGAGCGCTTGCCTTGCATGCCTGAGGCCCTGGGTTCAATTTCTCAGCACCACATAAGCAAAAAGAAAAAAAAGCTGGAAGTGGCGCTGTGGCTCAAGTGGTAGAGCGCTAGCCTTGAGCTGAAGAGCTGAGGGACAGCGCCCAGGCCCAGAGTTCAGGCCTCACGACCGGACCCCTCCCCCCCCCAAAAAAAAGAGAGAGTGGCAGAACTCCAGAGGGCTTTAGATGTGAAGATGGAGAAACTTGAGACTGTACTGAGTGAAGTTCCTATTGTCTTTTCTGCTGACCCCTCCATGATGACCACGTTGGGAATGAGGGTTTACTGTATCCTGGTCTGGTTCTCTCCCTAAATAAAGGATCATCTTCTCTGATCCTGGTGTTTCTGACAAGATACCACATCATAAAAGTGAACTTGAGCCAGTCCACTGAAAAAGATCTCTCACAATCCTCCATCAGGGTCCTGGGATTGGAAAAGGATAGCTCCTGAGTAGATAGAGTTCTGCAGGTCCTCTTCGTGGCACTTCTCTGCCCAGCTTCCCCAGGACAGTGCCTGTGACACTTTGTCAGGAGTTGAGGCAGGGTTGTAAGTAGATTGTCAGGGATTTGCTCTGGCTCTTGGCTGGCCCTGGACCAAGGTCATTTGTCGTGGCTGCTGTAGCCAAGGTCAGAGCATGCTTGTGCAGGATGTCCCTGGAAGTGATCACCTCACAGGTGGCTTTCCTTTCCATTCCTGCGCTCCACAGGCTTTTCCTCTGGCTCAGTCTCAAACATGGAACCAAGGACCAGCACATTGACCCTGCTTTGTCCCAAGGCCTCACATACTCCTGAGGTAGACAGGCAGGCAGGCAGGTAGTTTGGCTGGCTGGCAGGCAGACTGGCTGGCTGGCAGGCAGGCAGAGAAGCCAGGCTCCCCTTGGGGACCGAACTCAGACTCTGGCTGCTCAATTGTCCATACCAGTGTAGGGGGAGGATGCTGCTAAGGCTGACTTGTCTCAGGTCTACTCTGGACATCTGCACTGGGAAGGAAAGGGATGCTGTCTCTCAGACCCCTTGGATCCTGCTGGGTCAGTCAGAACAAGGTATGATCAGGATGTCAGCTAGTAGCTCTGGCTGCACATAGGCCTACAGGAGTGAGGGTAACTATGGGCACATACTCATTGGCTCTATATCCATGGCCACCAGCAGTTCTTTGAGGCTAGCGAACAAAATATCCCAGAAATAAACTTGGCCCACGTTTGCAGTGGTTGTGCGTATGAAGGGTAGCCAGTGTTTGCTGAGTGCCTGCTGTGTTTAAGGCTCTGTATTCTGGGTGGGCACCCTTGGGTGTGTATGTGTTGGAGTAGGAATAAGGCAGGGTGGGGAAGGCCTGTGAAATTTCCATTCATGGGTTCTGTGAACCTAAGCATTACCCCAGGAATTGCAGCCTCCACTACCTCCCAACCCCAGCTCTGCCTCCCTTGTTTCCTGCCTCTTCCATCCTGGCTGAGTCGTGAGCCTCACGTCTCCTACGGTCACTCATGGTTAAGTGAGCTGATGACTTTGGAGGAGGGCCCTGTCTTTGGTCCGGGGTAAATGCACTGTGGTTATTGTTAGGAACCGGGCCCTTTGACATTGTCCATTTCCTTGACTGCTCTCCTAGCTCTCTTGGGGCTGGCTTGTGAGTGTTGAGAACATGCTTCCTGCAGAGGCTTCCTCCACAGTTGGCCCAGTCTGGCCCTGCTGGAAACTCTGTGGAGTGGAAACTGAGGAATATCTTCCCCCCTCAGCTCTCCCTGCCACTGACTTGCCGTCTTCTCCCCTGCCCCCAGTTCTGTGGGCACTCCACAGAACTTCCAGGGTTTTGTGAGGCAGCTGGCAAGGCCTAGAGGAATTGAATAAGCATCAGATGGGTGCAGCACTCTTTTGCTGCTCTTCAGGGTGTGGTTCTGGCATGAGGGGGCCCCATGACACAAGAAGAGTCATTCTCAGAGCCAGGCAGAGCCCGTGGGGCAGCCTGCCAGCTCCTGTGCCCAAAGCCCGGCATGTTTGGAGCAAGCCTGGCTGGGGCCTGGTCATCAAGCACTTGCTCTGAGCATCTCCCTCCCTTCCTCCACTACAAGGGTTTGAACTCAGAGCCTCCCACTTGCTGGGCTGGCACTCTACCAATTGAACCATACCTCTAACACTGCTTTTTGCTGTTTATTTTGGAAAATGAAGTCGAGTGAATTTTTCTGCCCTGGCTAGCCTTGAATGGCTGATCCTCCAGATGTTAGCCTTCTATGTAGCTAGAATTACAAGTGGGAGCCATTTGTACCCCGCCTATAATGTACTGTAAATCAGACCTGGTGCCCCATTCCAAGTGCCAAGCAAGTGCTCTACTGCTGGCCACATCCTCCCTGATGCACATCTTGTTTGTTGTCTTTTCCATTACAATGGGGCTGAACGCTCATAGGTGGTTTTGTTGAGCTTAGACCTACACTATCTGAGTCTTAAACACAAGAACAGCCCTGTGAGACCAGGGCTGCCATCTAGGGCTCTGGTTGGCCAGAGATGAAGGGACTTGCTCAAGGCCACGCAGCTGTGGGAGGGAGGGAGAGTGGGAGCCAGGTCTGGGGCTGAGCCTGCTGTTCCGGACTTGAGAGAAGGAAGGAACTGCGTGGTCCTGGCAAGGCAGAGCTGAAAGGGTGGTGCGTGGGCCGCCCAAGCAGTTGGTAGGTCAGGCACCAGCAGTGCCCAGGACTCAGGCCAGGAAGGGTAGTGGCTGCCACGGGGACTCTGACGCAGGCGGGGGAGCAGCTGGTGCCAGGCACTTGATGCCACGTGCCCAGTCCTAGAGGTGCTTCCCGCCTGGCTCCGGCTGCCCCGGACTGGACTGTTGTGCCGCACGCACGCGCACACACGCAGTGAGCTCATGCTGTAATTGTGGGGCAGCAGCCTGAGGGACTCACCTGGCCAGCCAGGAGACCAGCAGCCTGGAGCGTCGGTCCTCCCCCCCACCCCGACCTGCCCCCGAGGGCCTGGCTCTGCCCTGTGGGGCCTCTCTGCCAGCCTGTACTCACTTCAGTCCAAAGAGGGGCAGGCCCCTCTCTCTCCACTCCTAGCCTCTGACTTGGCTGGAGGGGAATTCTTCGGTGACTCACTGTGCTGGCACTTCCTGTGGTCACCGGGACTGGGGCACGGGGCCAGGCACTGCGTTCTGGGGTCACTGAGTGAGGATGGGCCTGGTGTCCCGCCCCCTGCGGGGATGTGATTGCTGGAGGCAAGCTGCAGACCATATTTGGGAAATTTACTTTTCTTGCTGGGAGCTTGGGGTGGGGGCCTTGAGACCTGGTGGGTCCTAGGCAGTGCCTGCCCCTGCCTCTTCCTCCTGGGCTCTGGCCTCTAGGCCTGCCTGATCCTCTAACCTCTGTCCCCTCCTGCTTTATGACCTGTGAGGTGATCCAGTGCTTGCTTTTTGTGGACATGCATTTTCTTTTTCAAGCCCAAAACAAGAGGTGCTCAGTTGACAGATTCTGCCAAACAAGAAAAGAAAGCAGACTCCTCTATCATCTTGAACATTACCAATGCTCTTTGATCTCTTCCCCGTTTTAAAATTTCAAATGTTTTATTGGGCTTAATTTTTTTTTTTTTTTGTCGGTCGTGGGGCTTGAACTCTGGGCCTGGGCGCTGTCTCTCAGCTCTTCAGCTCAAGGCGAGCGCTCTACCACTTGAGCTACAGTGCCACTTCCGGTTTTCTGGTGGTTTATTGGAGATAGGAGTCTCACGGTCTCTCCTGCCCGGGCTGGCTTTGAACCGTGATCCTCAGATCTCAGCCTCCTGAGTAGCTAGGATTACAGGCGTGAGCCACCAGCGCCCGGCTCTTATTGGGCTTAATTTAAATTAAGTCAGTTTTAGGCTTTGTTTTGTTTTGAGTCAGTCTGGCTGTGTATTATGTTCCCTAAACTGTCTTAGCTGGGATTACAGGTGACTGTGATCACACCTAGGTTCTTCAGTGCTTTGGTTGTTGCTGCTGATAGAAGGTTTGAACTCTGGCCTCTTGCTTGTTCGGCTTGTTTGCTCAGCTGGTACTCTACTACTTGAGACACACCTAGCTTTTTTTCTTTTTCTTTGTATTGTCACTATCAAGGTAATGTACAGAGGGGTTATAGTTACATACATCAGGTAAAGAATTCATTTTTTCTTTTTGGACATTGTTACCCCTCCTTCTCTCTTCTAGTTTTTCCTTCTTTTGCTGGTTATTTGGAGATAGTCTCAGATTTTTTTTTGTTTTTTTTTGCCTGGACCTTGCACGAGATGACTAAGAAAAATACACTCAGGAACAGTGTGCCCAGGCCTTGAGTTCAAGATCCAGATTCCTTCCCCTCCCTCGCCACAAAAGAAGCACTTTATAGCTTCTGTTATAACACTTGGGGCATTAGTAAGTAAAATTGAATTACCTGAATTGAACATGAGGCTGCAATAGCTATTAAGACTCTCGCATGTGAATAGTATTATATGCTGTAAGAATACACGGGACAGAGGAACGATTCTTCTGGGGTACGATGACATACTTCTCAGAACTGTGCACGATTTAAAACTTAAGGATTATTTCTGGAATTTCTGTTTAATATCTTTATACCATGGTTGACCATGATATCTGACTGAAGCGACAGAAAACAAAACATTATACTTGGATAAAGGAGGAATACTACACTAAGAAAGCCTGGGCAAATGAATTTCTTTGTTGTTGTTGTTGGTTGTAGGTCTTGAACTCAGGCCTGGGTGCTGTCTCTGAGTTTTTCTGCTAAAGGCTAGCATCCACCACTTTGAGCTACAGCTCCACTTCTGGTTTTCTGGTGGCTAGTTGGAGCTAAGAGTCTCATGGATACACGTTCCTGTCTGGGTTGTCTTTGACCTGCAGTCCTCAGATCTCAGCTCTTCCTGAGTAGCTAGGATTACAGGCGTGAGCCACCAGCACCTAGCTGGGCAAATGAATTTTAACCTTGTTAAGTCATCCCAACATGGTCTTAATACATTGCACACAAATGTGCGCTCTCTCTCTCTCTCTCTCTCTCTCCCCCCCCCCCATCTGTACTAGGAGTTGAACTGAGGACCTGGGACTCTGCTTGCTGGGCAGGCAATGTCACTTGAGCCATACCTCCAGTTATTTTTGTTTTAGTTTGAAATAAGGTTTTATATTTTGTTTCATTTTTTTGGGGGGGGGTCAGTTGTGGGATTTGAACTTTGGGCCTAGGTGCTGTCCCTCAGCTCTTCAGCTCAAGGTGAGTGCTCTACCACTTAAGTCACAGTACCATTTCCAATTTTCTGGTGGTTTATTGGAGATAAGAGTCTCATGGACTTTTCCTGCCCTGGCTGGCATTGAACCAGGATCCTCAGATCTCAGCCTCCTAAGTAGCTACGATTACAGGCGTGAGGCATCTGGCTTTTTGTTTAACTTTTTACACTAATAGCCCTAAACCCCGATACTCCCAATCTCTGCCTTCTAAGTAGCTAATAAATACCTGGACAATTTTTCTTTTAAGTTTTTTTTCTAGGTCTTTGACAGAACTTCAACACTTTCTCCTTGGTGGTTTTTGCGGTTGTTGTTTGAGCACTTTCCCAGATAACTTGTAGTTTTTGTTACATGATTGATCCTTGCTCGGACCTTTCTCGTCAGTTACTCATTCTTCCAGTTTGTGAGCTTACATATGATCATATATGATCTGAAGACAATTTGTATCAGTGCAATGTGTGCAATCTCCCTCCTCCCCGCAACATATCTTACCCTGTCATTTTCTTCTTCCTGGTACGTTTCAGTGACCAGGGCAGCAGGGACCCTGGCCTCTGGGGCTGGAGTAGGGAGAGCATCCTGGTTGCTTCTCAGCCTTAAGGGAAAGTGAAATTTCTCCATTAATTACTGGCCTTTGGTAGAAAGACTGAAACAAATATATTCTCTGTTTTTGTTGTTGTTGTTGGTCATGGGTCTTGAACTCTGGGCCTGGGCACTGTCCTTGAGCTCTTCAGCTCAAGGCTAGTGCTCTACCACTGGAGCCACAGTGCCACTTCCAGTTTTCTGGTGGGTAATTGGAGATAAGAGTCTCATGGTCGTTCTTGCCTGGGTTGGCTTTGAAATGCAATCCTCAGATCTCAGTCTCCTGAGTCGCTAGGATGACAGGCGTGAGCCACCAGCGCCCAGCTTCTCTCAGTATTTTTTATCCTAAGAAGCTGTAACTTTTGGCAGACTTTATTCTTGTATCTCCTGAGCTGATCACTTGCCGTCTCTTGTAACCTGGTGGTTATGTTACCACCACCATCCCTGGTGATTGCTGCCATGTGACTACAGGTGTAGTCTTTAGGAACATCTGGAAAGTCCTCTCGGAGGTATTAATTGTGGCTGCTGCCTTAGGGGGAGGATTTTGAGGGTTCCTCTAGCACAGTGGAGGCATGCCAGGTCAGCTGGGCCTGTATGATGACTGATTTGAGCTCCTCTTCCAAAGGCAAATCCAGGTGCCTCGGATCCCAGAGGGGTGGGACTGGGTGAGTCCTGGTACTGCCCCTCCCCTCACTGTGTCCTCTCTCCCCAGAATGTGCTGGCCAAAGCTCTCTATGACAACGTGGCTGAGTCTCCAGACGAACTCTCCTTCCGCAAGGGCGACATCATGACAGTGCTGGAGCGGGACACGCAGGGCCTGGATGGCTGGTGGCTCTGCTCGCTGCACGGGCGGCAGGGCATTGTGCCTGGGAACCGCCTCAAGATTCTGGTTGGCATGTACGATAAGAAACCTGCAGGACCTGGCCCGGGCCCACCTGCCACAGCAGCTCAGTCCCAGCCCAGCCTCCCGCAGGGCCTCCATGCCACACCTCCCCAGGCTTCCCAGTACTCACCCATGCTCCCTGCTGCGTACCAGCCCCAAGCTGACAGCGTCTACCTGGTACCCAGTCCAGGCAAGGCTCAGCAAGGCCTCTACCAAACTCCTGGGCCCAGCCCGCAGTTCCAGTCACCTCCAGCCAAGCAGACATCCACATTCTCAAAGCAGACGCCTCACCACCCATTTCCCAGTGGAGCCACAGACCTCTACCAGGTACCCCCAGGGCCTGGAAGTCCCGCTCAAGACATTTACCAAGTGCCACCTTCAGCTGGCCTAGGGAATGACATCTACCAGGTCCCGCCATCCATGGACACCCGCAGCTGGGAAGGGATGAAGCCACCAGCAAAGGTAAGGCCACTGGCAGAGCTGTGCTACCCACAGCGTTAGCCCAGGCCCTGGTTTCTGGGCACAGAAGAGCCCAGACACCTCTGGGTCCCCACACTCCAGCAGTGGTTTTGCATGTTTGGGGAATTTGTTCATCTGATGCAGCAGATGAGGGAGAATGGAAGACATCAAGCAAGCTATGACAGCCAAGAGACATGGAGAAGCTTCCTACAGGATTGGCAGGTGAAGCCAGAGCAGGCTGGGACAGGTTCCAGAGGGATCTGGTGTCCACAGGAGAGCTAGAGGCTGTTCTGCGGGTACTGAGTTTTGAGTAGGTTAAAATCATTCTGACCAGAGTAGAGGGCACAGCCCAGACCCAGTCAGATAGCCCAGAAAAAAGAGGGTATGAGGTTGGTGGTGGTATTTAAAGGGAAGAAATACCCAGGTGCTGGTGGCTCATGCCTGTAATCCCAGCTACTCAGGAGGCTGAGATATGAAGATTGCAGTTCAAAGCTAGACCAGGCAGAAAAGTCCCAGTGAGACTCATATCTCCAATTAACCTCTCAAAAGCTGGAAGGGGAGTTGAGTTCAAAGTGGTAGAACACTAGCCTTGAGCAAAAGAGCTCAAGGACAGCACCCAGGTCCCAGAGTTCAAGCCCCACAACATCAAAAGGGGAAGAAGTTAGCCAGGCATGGTGACTCACACCTGTAATCCTAGCTTCTTGGCAGGTAGAGGTTAGGGGATCACAGTTTGAGGCTAACGTAGGTACACATACAAAGTTTGCAAGGCGCCATGTCTACTAATGGCTGGGCATGGTGATGGTACACGTCATCTCTGCAATTCAGCAAAGCACAGATAGGAGGATTACAGTCTGAGCCAGCCTGATAAAGTGTCTTGGAAACAAGACAAAAAGAAGCTGGTGGAATGGCTCAAGTAGTAAGAGTATCTTACCTCAAGTTTGAGACCCTGAGCTCAAATACCAATACAGTCCATCCATCCGTCAATAATCCATCCATCTATCTATCTGTCCATACATAAAGCCATCCATCCATAAATGTCGACAGCCATCTATCCATACTTACAGCAACACATATATATCAGGAGGGCAGCAGGTCCATTAAGAGAGCATGCCTTGGGCAACAGAAACATTTATTTTGCATAAACCACGTCTGGAGGTGAACATGCCAGGACCAATAGGGTGCTGCATGCGCTCCAGCCACCATGTCTCTTTTTGGTAGGCAGGAGAAGAGGAAGAGACAAAGATTGCATTTTTTTCTAACTTTTCTGGGGGCTACATTTGTTACTTTTCTCCTGTTGACAGAAAGTAATCCTGCTTCACCTAGCCAAGCACAGGAGGCTGCACAGTAGAGCTTTGCTAGGTGCCCTGTGTTTGCAGCCATTCTTTAAGAAGTCTGACGTCAGTCATGTCAGCCTTCCAGGGGTCCAGCCTCATATTCTCACCTTGTCCAGTCCAGAGCCCCACCTGTGTCTAGGAAGACTGCGTCCAAGACACTCAGCCATAGCTTTTTTTTTTTTTTTTTTGGTCAGTCATGGGTTTGAACTCAGGGAGGGCCTGGCCACTGTCCTTGCTTTTTTGCTCAAGACTAACACTCCCACTGCAGCTCCACGTCAGTCTTTTTGGTGATTAATTGGAGATAAGAGTTTCATGGACTTTCTTGCTTAGGCTGGCTTTGAACCATGATCCTCAGATCTCAGCCATAGACAGCTTTGAGCCTCTGTTCTCAGAGCTGCCCGGGCTAAGGTGAGCACTTCACCTAGTACCAGCTAGGTAGCAAGTAAACACATAGTGTAACTCCATTCCTGCCAACAGAGGGCCTGGCCAGAGTTCATGAGCCTGGGGGACCCTGGGCCACCCCTCCATTCTTGCCCTGCCTGCACCTTTAGCTATCTAGCCAGAGTCAGCTGGCCAGAGCCTGCCATGCTGACCCTGGGCAGCTGGGGTGGAGCAGGGCCCTGGAGGGCTCAGCTTTGCTGTTTGGCATCAGAGCAGTGCTTGGCCAGGGAGCCCCGGGACAATGCAGTCCATTCCCTTCACATGCACCCCCTCCACACGCGCACAACACCCAGACAAGTGTGCGTGCACACACCCATGTCCGTGGCCCATACTTCCAGCTCTTCCTCCCACCCCACCTCCCTTGCCCCAAGTCTTTGTCCTGGTTCAGCGGGCAGTTGGGGCAGGCATGGGATGAGAAGGAAGCAGGGGAGGCTCTCCATCTGGGGCCCCGCTCCCGCTGCTGTGTCAGCGCATGGTGGAGCTACTTAGGCTTGTGCTCTAGGGGCCCTGACCTGCCTGAGGGCTCAGGAAGGGGACAGGGTGCCCTGAGCCACCTCCTCACTCCTGGCCTGGGCAGCCTTGATTGCCATGAAAGCAATGCTTGTTTGCTGTAGAGAATGCATAATGTATGAGAAAGCCTAGAGATGAAATTCCCCAATCAAGGGTAATGATTGGGAAATTTTGGCGTATTTTGTCTAGCACATCCTCTATTTGTCTTTTACAGATTTGTCCATGTACGTTTGCATTTTAAAGTAGTAAATCTAGTGCTACAGATCAAAAGCATTTTCTTGTTACTAAAATTTCTTCCTGAGCCATTTGGCCTGGCTGGCCCTAGCTTTACCGTGCCTCCGCCTCCCTCAGGAATAGGCACTAAGTGGTCTCTGGTCACTCATGTTTCTATTAGAAACTAAATAGCAGTAAACATCTCTGTGTGTGATCAGTGCTCAGATATCAAGGTCCTGCCTTCATAAACGTCAAAGCTCCTCACCTTGGATGTCTGAAACTGAAGACACTAAGTTGGGGTCATTCCTGATCAGGCCAGGCGTGTGGGTGGGTAGAGGGGCCCTAGTGCTCAGAAAACAAAGAGGTGGGTATCAGGGCCAGGGCCAGGTGGCAGCAGACCCTAGCTGCAGCATCCCTGTGGTGTGTGGTCGGGCAGAGCAGTCACGGCCACTGCAGGCCACGTGGCCTTCTGAGCCTCTCAGAGACACAGAGGGGCCACATCTGTGAAAGGCGCGCTTGCGGAGCCCCAGCCTCTGGCGTGGAGGGCGCGCAGCGCAGCCTCCGTTGTACCATCCTCATGTGGGGGTGCTCTTACCGCCTTGCAGGTCCCCATGCAGAGACCCCAGGATACTCTCATGGCACACACTCGATTTCCAGAGAAGAAAAATGAGACTCCTAGATTGGGGTGGGAGGTAGGACTGGTATGCCGGAGCCGAGAGCTGGTCCTGGTCAAGGCATTCTGTCCATTTTTCAGGGGGTGGAAGCTAGTGCTGGTGCCGCCTGAGGGGCTGCTCTTGTCTCTGCGCTCTGCTGCGGCCTGCTGCCTGGGGCCTCGCTCTGTCCCTGCGGGCCACTCCGGAGTTTCAGCTCTGCCCTGGACTCAACGGCTGGGGCGTGTTTCTGAGGGGAGAGCAGCCCTCTCCTGCCAACCTGGGCTCTTTGTGTGTGTGGACATGGGTGTGAGCGTGTGTGTGACTGGCAGTGCATCGTGTACCATGTACTGTGTTCTCCAGGGTGGGAGGATTTGTAGGTGTCAGGGAGTAACCCCACCCCCACCCCAGGGCTCTCCAGGTCCTGCTAATGGGGCCTCAGGTGCAGAGCAGGGTGGCCTGCGATTACAGAGCTCAGCAGCTCTCTGGAGAGTCCATTTCCCTAATGATCTCCCTGATGGCAGCCTACTCTGTTTTTCTAACGAGAAATGTTTGCTGGCCAGGATGGCTGCTTGCTGTCACCTGACTGCGGTAGAAGTGACAGACTGCCCTTTGGCGCTGGGGTGGGGTGTGGGTGTGGGTCGGGTCCCTAGCTGCCTCTGGCTGTGCGTCCAGCCCTCGCTGTTGCATGGCAGCAGCAGGGCCTGAGGGGCTGGGGCGGCCGCATTTCCCAGGCCCCACCTGCCTGGCCGGGGAGCTGGCAGGACGTTGGGCACAGCCCTCGCTCGCCAGCCTTGTGGAGCTGGTCCCCACCTAGGAGGCCAAGGGGCCCTGCCTCAAGGCCCAGCCAAACCTGCCACGTCCCTCCAGCCCCCAGCCCCTTCCTGCCTGCTGTTGGAAGGTTCCAGCACCTAAAAATAGCACTGGAAGAGACTCAAGTCTGAGGCACAAGGAAGGAGATGAGTCTGGAGGGGCTGCTGCAACTCCGCCCCCAGACACTGGTGCACACTGGTGCGGGAGGGCGGGGACCCCCACGGAGGAGGCCCACTGCTCCGCTGGCTGGACAGAGATGCCCGGAGCCCAGCTGGCCCAGCTCAGCTTGACTGCCTAGAGCTTTGCCAGGCCTGAGGCCCGCCAGTGACCCCCCCTGGGAGTGTGGGAGAGGGTGGGGCCTGGGCAGGGTTCTGGAGCCTTCGAACTTGAGGGAGGGTGTGTGTGGGTAGGGCCCCAGTCAATCCTGTCCCAGACGTCCCCTTTGATTAGGGAACAAAAGGCCTTTCTGTGACGAGTACTGGGAGCCCCGTTGGGGGAGGCTGCGGAGGCCGCCAGGCCTGGCTGGAGAGTGCTTCAGGAAGGGCTGCCTGCGTGCCCGCCCTTCCATGAGGACGGCAGGGGCCCGACTGGGTCAGCATCCGAGGGCAGAGCCCCGGGCCCTCCAGGCCACCTCTGGTCCCGTGGCTTCTGTACCTGCATCTGTAGGCACCTTGCCAGTGCAGGCCCTGGGGAGGGGCAGCCGGGGTGCCCACAGGAAGGAGGCCTTGACCTCACCCCGCCTGCCCACTGCCATTCTACTCATATTCCACCCCCATCAGAATGTGAGGGCTAGAAACTTCTGGATCATTCAGCCGTAGAAACTTCTTGGTTCTTAGCCTAAAGCCAGTTAGCTGGGAATAAAACCTAAAGGTGTAGTATGCTAGGAGTGTCTCACCACGGAAGGGCTGAGGATGCTCAGGGAATGAGAACCGGAGCCGCCTCGCGTGGCTTCCCGGAGGGCCCCGGGGGCCCCAGACACACACACGTGCATGCGCGAGGGCTGCTAGAAATGCCGCGGTTTGCCTGCAGGTGGTGGTGCCCACGCGAGTGGGCCAGAGCTACGTGTACGAGGCCTCACAGCCAGAGCAGGACGAGTACGACATCCCACGCCACCTGCTGGCCCCGGGGCCCCAGGACATCTACGACGTGCCCCCTGTCCGCGGGCTGCTTCCCAGCCAGTATGGCCAAGAGGTGGGTGCGGGGCTTAGGCGGGAGCGTGGCCCTCTGGGAGCTGAGTAGGTGCCCTGGAGTCTTCCTGGACCTGGTGTCACTAGCCCGTCCCTCCTCTAGGTGTATGACACACCTCCCATTGCTGTCAAGGGTCCTACCGGCCGAGACGCATTGCTGGACGTGTACGACGTGCCCCCCAGCGTGGAGAAGGGCCTGCCCGCAGCCAATCACCATGCGGTGAGCAGTGTGCCCGTGCTGGGCCCGCAGGGGGAGGGGAGGGGGGAGCGGATGGTTGAGCTCAGAGCCCCTCGAGTGGCCGCAGTTAGCGCAGCGTCCGTGAGCGCCCAGCGCCCGCACAGGGCAGCAGACAGGCACAGGCGTGGAGGCATCTGGCCCTTGGCGTGACGTCATGACGCGTGGCGTCTCCGTGGGCTGGGTCCCTTCCGCTCTGGCTCCTAGGCGTGACGTCATGACGCGTGGCGTCTCCGTGGGCCGGGTCCCTTCCGCTCTGGCTCCTTGGCGTGACGTCATGACGCGTGGCGTCTCCGTGGGCTGGGTCCCTTCCGCTCTGGCTCCGAGGCGGCAGCCGTGACCCCATTTGGTCCCCCAGGTGTACGATGTGCCTCCGTCGGTGAGCAAGGACGTGCCGGATGGGCCGCTGCAGCGGGAGGAGACCTATGACGTGCCCCCTGCCTTCGCCAAGGCCAAGCCCTGCGACCCGGCCCGCCACCCGCTGATCCTCGCCGCCCCGCCTCAGGACCCCCCGCCCGCCGAGGACGTGTACGACGTGCCGCCCCCTGCGCCCGACCTCTACGATGTGCCCCCGGGCTTGCGGCGGCCAGGCCCAGGCGCCCTGTATGACGTGCCCCGTGACCGGGCGCTTGCCCCTGAGGTGGCTGACGGCGTGGGTGATGACGGCGTGTACGCGGTGCCCCCACCGGCCGAGCGGGAGGCCCCCGCCGACGCCAAGCGCCTGTCGGCCTCCAGCACGGGCAGCACCCGCAGCAGCCAGTCGGCGTCATCCTTGGAGGCAGCTGTGCCAGGCCGGGAGCCCCTGGAGCTGGAGGTTGCGGTGGAGTCCCTGGCACGGCTGCAGCAGAGTGTGAGTGCCACCATAGCCCGCCTTTTGGACCTGGCGGGCAGCGCCGGCGGGGCTGGCGGCCGGCGGAGCACCCCCGAGCCCCAGGAGCCGCCCGTGCAGGACCTGCGGGCGGCCGTGGCGGCGGTCCAGGGCGCTGTCCACGAGCTACTGGAGTTTTCCCGCAGCGCCGTAAGCAACGCCACCCACACTTCTGACCGCACCCTGCATGCCAAGCTTAGCCGGCAGCTGCAGAAGATGGAAGACGTGTACCAGACACTGGTGGCCCACGGGCAGGTCCTGGACAGTGGCCGAGGAGGCCCCGGGTTGACCCTCGAAGACCTGGACCGCCTTGTGGCCTGCTCGCGGGCTGTGCCCGAGGACGCCAAGCAGCTGGCCTCCTTCTTGCATGGCAATGCCTCACTGCTCTTCAGACGGACCAAAGCCTCTGCCTCGGGCCCAGAGGGGGGTGGCTCCCCACACCCCAACCCCACTGACAAGGCCAGCAGCATCCAGTCCCGACCACTGCCCTCTCCCCCCAAGTTCACCTCTCAGGACTCTCCAGATGGGCAGTACGAGAACAGCGAGGGGGGCTGGATGGAGGATTATGACTACGTCCACCTGCAGGTGGGTGCCCACACCGGCCAGGACACAGGCCCCGACCACCTCTCATGCCGCAGGAACTCCGGAGCCTCTCCCCTGCCTCCTCCGCCCCCCACAGGGCTCTCCTAGAGGGAGGGGTGGGACCCTCCATCCATGGTGGCCAGGCGTGAGGGTGCATGGACATTCAGCGCCACCTGGCGGACTCCCTGGGCTTTGCATCCCACCAACCTGCTGGCCTTTTTAGTTTAGCCCTTGTTCTCCCTTCCAGGGGAAGGAAGAGTTTGAGAAGACCCAAAAGGAGCTGCTGGAGAAAGGCAACATCATGCGGCAGGGGAAAGGACAGCTGGAGTTGCAGCAGGTGAGGGCCCAGTCTAGCTTGGGGGGGGGGGCGCACACCCTGGACCAGAGAGCCGGCTTCTCCTGGAATGGTGGCCTCTAACAGGGAGGCCACAGTTCCAACCTGCCGGGGCAGATTCCTGCCCTTAACGTCCACCCAGCCAGTCACTTCCCAACTTCATGATCACCTCCATCCCCCCAGTACTGGGTTTGAACTCAGGGCCTCCCACTTGCTCAGCAGGAACTCTACCATACGAGGCAGATCTCAAACTCCTGGGTCAAGTCACCTCCTGCCCCAGCCAGCTGAGGTACTGTGAGTGTGCCGCTGCACACCTGGCCTGATCCTGTTTATCTTAGCGGTTATTACCAGAAGGCCGGGCCTGCAGGGCAGTGGTAGTACACTTGACTAGCATGCCGGAAGCCCTAGACTCAAGTCCCAGGTCTGCAGTAAATAGGTCCAATTAGGTTCTTATCAGGGTAATTTTAGACCTAGAGAACATAGAGCAGTGTGCACACGGCCTTCCACCAGCCAGCGCCCGCCATCGGGGCCGCCGCATGCCTGCGCTAAGTCTTGGGGGTCACTGCCTTCATCTCCAGCGTTTTCCCCAGCGTTCAACGCTCTTCATAAATTCTTTTCAAAGGCCATATAATATCTATTGCTGAATTGTTTCCATAGTGCCCAGTTTTCCTTATTCTAGATACTGGTGCCCTGTTTGAAGAGTTTGCTTCATGTTTTGAGTCATTTCCTAGGATAGGAAAGGGTAATTCTGAAAAACACCGAGTGTTTCATTCCCATTATGAAGGAATTCAGAGTAATACAAAGCAACACTGCCCAGCTAGCTTCCCTTCCTCCCTTCCCTGGGGCAGAGGTGGAACGGAGGGGACAGAGCCTGTCCCTCCAGAGCCCTGGCCACAAAGGGGGGTTCCCCCCCCACTCCCCACTCCCCGCAAGGCTGGCAGTGTAGACTGATGCCTCATGGGAGCTCTGTGGAAAGTCAATGAGTGACGCGTGGGAATAGCAACGAATGCTCAAAGTGTAGAGCGAATCGGGCTGCCTGTAGCTTTAAGAAGTAGACATGTCCTCTGTCCTCCCGCAGTCTTTCAGCACATTTTCACCCCTTGGTCCCGTTACCCCACTTTGAGCTTGGGGAGCAGTGTGCTGGGTGTGTGTCTGTGGGCCCACAGCCTAACCGTGCTTCCCCCGGCTTCCCCAGCTGAAGCAGTTTGAGCGGCTGGAACAGGAGGTGTCTCGGCCCATAGACCATGACCTGGCTGGCTGGACGCCCGCCCAGCCCCTGGCCCCAGGCCGGACAGGCAGCCTGGGACCCTCGGACCGGCAGCTGCTGCTCTTCTACCTGGAACAGTGTGAGGCCAACCTGACCACGCTGACCGATGCCGTGGAGGCCTTCTTCACCGCCGTGGCCACCAACCAGCCGCCCAAGATCTTCGTGGCACACAGCAAGTTCGTCATCCTCAGCGCCCACAAGCTGGTGTTCATCGGGGACACGCTGTCCCGGCAGGCCAAGGCGGCCGACGTGCGCAGCCAGGTGACGCACTACAGCAACCTGCTCTGCGACCTGCTGCGGGCCATCGTGGCCACCACCAAGGCCGCGGCCCTGCAGTACCCCTCGCCCTCGGCGGCCCAGGACATGGTGGACAGGGTCAAGGAGCTGGGCCACAGCACGCAGCAATTCCGCCGGGTGCTGGGCCAGCTGGCAGCCGCCTGAGCGCACACGGTGGGGACATGGAGGCAGGGAGGCACCCACCGGGAGAGTCTGGCCGGCGTCCCACGGGCTTGGGGCCGGGCAGCCCTGCCACGCCGCGGGCCCGTGGCCTCGGCCGTGTAGGCTTTGTACATAGTTGTGACAGGTGGTGGGCGGTGGCACCGAGCACGTGCCAAGCCCAGGGGGCCGCGCACGGGCCCAGCACTGGCCGCGGGGCTCCGGGCTCCCGGACAGACTGGGCAGCACTCAGAGAGAAGCCTACGGAACTGTTTTCCTTAAGGATTTCTAATCCTGCCACAGATAGTCGACACCTAATAAAAGTTGGAGAGGAAAGCGATCTTCTCCTGCTCGAGGCTTTTGCTCTACCACTTGCCTGTCAGCTTTACTGCCAGCTTTCTCTGAGGTGTAGTTCTTTAGCAGTCAGAGTCTGGTGGACCTTCCTGCCCAGACTGCCTTTGCACCACAGTCCTCAGGTCTCAGACCGGTGTACCTGTCAGTACACGTAAGGACGACTTAGCACTTGAAGAAGGAGGAAAAAAGCTAGGTCTGGGAGAGATGCTGTGAGCACTGAGGACAGAGCGCTTACCTCCTGGCCTCTCCCATGCCCAGAGCTGGTTGGGCCTCCGCTGTGACCCCGCCCCGCCCCGCCCCGCCCCCGGGGACCTGTAGCACACTGGCCAGAGCCACAGTCAGAGGCCATGGCCTCCACAGGGTGGCTCTTCTAGGAAGGGGACAGGCCTTCTGGGGGTACAGGGAAGTAGTGTGCCGCAGGCACTCTCTCGTGGTCAGTCCCCATGGGCACGAAGGCTTGGCCTGGCTGGGAGGAGGGCAGGGCTGTGACTGGCACATCGCCGTCCTGGCTGTGGCGTGGGATAGCCTGGGAGCAGCTTGTCTGCAGCCTGCAGGTTCCAGACGCTTCCTTCTG